TTCAAACTTCCTATGGCCTTGTCTACATGATTTAAATGCTGTTTCTCTACATTACTTCCCTCTTGAAATCACACAAAAGGGCCCATCTTCACTCCCTCAATATATTCCTCAGTTTCATATTTGTCATTTTATGCTTAGAACCACTCTCAGCCCGTGTTTCTTCACTCAGCATTCATTAAATACAAAGTTAATTTCTCTAAAAGCACCAACAAATCCCTTAGTCATAGAAGTGGTAACGTAAGAATGACGCTGTAGTTGTAATGATCCAGGAATTATTCAAGAGATAAGGATTTCTTTCATCCGACCAACTATATAACTAGGATAGAGTTAGTTTTGCATTTGAAAGCTTGTCTGGCTATCTCCTGACTATATAGTTAGTCCAATGAAAGATATCACCCTAAGAAATTCTTGCCTTAGTCACAGAAGGCAATTTTTATGTTCATGGTCTTTTCTGAAACTTTAGTTTTTTGGGTTTTTGTTTTTTTAAATCTAAAAGGGGTATCTGCTGTATTTTACAGAACCAAAACTGTTCTCCACTGAAGTAACATCCATTACCCCTTATGACTAGGGACCTACCCAAGTTCTGGTGGAAGTTTGCAACACAGCAGTGCCTTTATATTGCAATTTTCACTGCGTGCCCCACCTCCACCCCCCCATCCACCGGGTGGCCAAAAAGCAATTCATGTCAGTTTTTGCCTCTCAGCCACTCACTGGCAGGGAGGGGAGGGATGCAGCCAAATGCAAAGTTAGAAGTGCTGTTGCACCATGAACTTCTGCCATGATTTAAGCAGGTCCCTACTTATAATACCTCTTCTAAAGTGTTTTGTACACAGTGTTAGGTATGCTGAAAGCCAGAAATAAGAGACATGCTTTTTCCATTCAAAGCACGAAGACAACTTGTTTACACTTCCAAGTAGGAACATTTAAATTTGTCCACACAGTTCTAGAAGTGACCATGCAACAAAGTTCTAGTTTGCACAGCACTGTACCTGTTGTTTGAAGTATCGTCTGTCTTCTTCATCTACAAGCACTAAATTCAAAAAGTATCTCACAGAAAATTTTTTGTTCACATCCCTCATTGTAGGAGTTGGGTCATAGCCTGCCAAGAAGAGCCTTATAGGAATTGATTCACCTTAAGAGAGAGGGAGGGAAAACAAAGGAAGTTAAGTTCCTCCAAAATGAAACTAATTATGTGACTACAGTTCACAGACTATATGACTCAGTTGTGGGGAACCTGGCAATTACCCAAACACACTCTATAGATTCTAAAGGCAGAGGTCATCTGCAAGAAGAACCACTGCTATAGGCTGAGTAGTAGTTTAAGAGCTCTTTAGCCAATGGTATCTATCAAAAGGCACAGACAGAAAGTCTGAATCTTATAAAACTATTTGAAAAACTGCTGCTGCTAGCTCAGGGTCAGCAACATAATTCATCACTGATCAGTCAGTGTTCTTTAGCCCTGTCTTAAACACATGAATGTGTGTCATGGAAGTAAGTTTTTGTTGCAAAAATTTCAGCTCTGCCTCTAAATATCCCTAACAGAAAGGGCAGCTTAATCTACCACTGAGAAAGGGGCTCCCTAAAAAAGCCATCTAATCCTCCCCTCCTGATTTATCCACTGCTTTCCTGTCTTCCATCAGTTCTCAGATTTAATCCCTGATCCTTCTCTCCCTCTAGTCCTACCCTGTCTTCCCCAATACCTTCTCTAGAAGCAAATTTGAATGTAAAGTAGTGCATATCCTTTTTCAAGAATCAGAATTGCACCAGATCTGCTTCACTTATTGGATGCACCAAGTCTTTGTGGTCTCCAACTCTCAAGGTGTTTGCTGCCATATCCCAGAAAGGAAAAATTTTCCAAGGACTTGTTAACACAAATTTGCACTAAAGACTACTCCTGCAGGGACACATTTATGACTAGTTTTAAGCCAAGGTGAGGGTTTCCAGCACAGGAGTTTAAGCAGACTTACGGTAGCCTGTTTAACAATGTTGATCCAATTCAGCTAGAATAGGTTCTTTAAAAAAACCCAATAAGTAAAGAAACAACTTTAGCTAGCCTAGTATAAAACTTCCCATTTATACCAGACCTAAAGAAATATTTCCCACCTAGTTTAGAAGCAACCAAGTATTTATAGTTCAGCAGCTAACTACTATCCCTTAGAGCAGCAGGGGGTTAACCATTTTGGCAGGAGTGCTACAAATTAAGCCCTGGTATTCCCTAAGTGCTACTCCAATCCCCTTCCCCTGCTGAATCTGTTGGATTGCTCTGCTCCCTCCACTATCTGCTGCTGTTCTCCCTGCTTTCTCCCCATTCTCCCATGCATCTCAGACACAGGCTGTTTGTGCCACGGGTTGGCTACCCCTACCTTAGAGCACTTAGTTGTAAGCTTATGCCCTGACAATTGCTTAGAAGCCTAGTGAAAGTCTGCTTCCAAAGGGCAGATATGAAGAATAGAGATGGAAATACTGTCAGAATTTTAAAAATGGAAGCAATACAGTCAGGTAAGAGAAGGTGAAATTCTTAACTACCTAGATAGGTAGTTGAGTGTAGTAGAGATAAGTTTGAATGAGAACCCAAAATCTAAGCATCCACAGATACAGATTTTGCTGGGATTAGAAGAGAAATGAATTTCTGATCCCAGGAAATTAACGAAGCCCCAATCTATAGATCACCACAACTATTCCACTACTAGTTCTGGATATTACGTTACACAATACATCACTTCTATAACCTAATTAGAAATTTAGTTTTCCATGATAACCAACTCTGTCCCTACAAAAGCAAACTCATCTTTAGATACACATGCATTTTAGATACTATTTTAGATTTGTTTAGATATTTCCAAACAATTATTTACCTTTAACAGGTGCACCATCCATGATTTCATACTTCGCAATGGTTTCAGTCTCTGTTGTGGTACTGGGTCCTGATTAAATAAAGTGTACCTTGTGTTCATTTGATAATTTAAATTTGAATATTTACTTAATAGCTGCCTCCCTCCCCCAAATGTAGGTCTTCAAAACAAGAGTCCTAACATGGCAATCCCAACTCAACAGCATTTCACAATCAAGTGAAACAATTCTGTTCATCTTTGTCTTCTGACAAAGGAAGACCATTTCATTCCTTAACTTAATTCACCACACTGCATCCAAGAGGGTTTCTGATCCCCAAAGGGTGACACTAGTTATGCTTTGCAATAATTCAGCCATCTCTTTAGAATTAAGAATTAATTTTACCAACTTGAAGGCAATTTTGTAAGAAAATTAGAGAAGAGTAATCCCTCAAAAGAACAGCGAGAGTATCTCTGTAAGGAAAGTCCAGTCTACCACCAGTAGTTTAGCAAGATAGGGTAGGGCCTTCAGAATTTGCAGAGTAAACAGAAAAAACACCAAAATACTTTTACCCTGTTTTCATCTTCATACCATTAAAGCAGTTAAGTTTCAGAAACTAGTTGTTTGCTTTACATATTACAGATTTATGCAGTCCATCGTGGGAGTACATATAGTGACTAAGGCCTTTAAAAATCCTGACATTACAAAACAGTTCCTTTCACTTTTGTAAACACCTATTTAAACTGCAGATATTTGAAGACAGGATGTCAGTTAAAAGCAGCAGCATCCCTACCTCTTTAAATGAGTGAAACCTGATAAACATACTTGAACTCCAAGCTGTCCTCAAGTTTGACCTTTCCCATTTTGCTGAATATTTTAGATTTAGGTCTTTTTTTAAAAAGCCTGGAAGGGCTATTTAAAAGCAGATAGGCTACCATGCATGGAACACCAAATGCATGTTCCTGCTGTTGCATAAGCCCACCAGGCTTCCCCTGGATTTTTTTTTTTTTTTTTTTTTTTTTTACAGGAACCAAAGACAGATAAATAAAACATTTAGAAAATTTAATAGGGGCCCCGCAGGCCGGATAGAATGGCCTTGCGGACTGGATGCGGCCCGCAGGCCATGTTTTGCCCACCCCTGCCCTAAGAGGTGGAACGGGGCATGGCTGTGGAGCCACCAGGGGATGTCATGGCCACCCCTGGACACGTAGCATGCTACAAGTTACCAGTTCACTTTACTTTTACTCGTCTTACCAATTCCAGTGATTTCTTTTTTAATCAGCTGCAATTCCATGTGCTGAATTTTTATCCTGACTAAGAGGAAATAAATTTTTCCAACAATCACATCCTTCAAGTGATACCTTTAGAGAGAACAAGGAAAACATTAGGTTAAAGGCTCACCAAATGCCAATTTTACATGCTTAAAAACTTAAAATAATGCATCTGCTTAAATAGCTTATTTCTGAAACAGGAAGTTTTGATTTTTCTGCTAAGCTAATTTATGAACTACCCATATGAGGCTAGAACAGTGTTTCCCAACCTTTTCCAGCCTAAGGCATGCTTACATTAATACAAAATTTTCCACAGCACACCTGTTAAGGCATTCCCCACCCTCATACCTATTGTAGCTCATTGCCACAGCAAAACTGTGCAGCATACCTGTTCATTTATGACAGCACACTGGTTGGGAAACACTGGGCTAGAACGTTCCCATGACTGTAGTTCCAGCTGAGAATGCACTGCAGTCATCTAAGCAGATACTACAATTTCAGAAGCTAAGTCAAAACTACTAGCAAGTTTGCAAGAGAACGGACATTAGCACCCTAATACTGCACCTATATTACGTTTCTGCAGTAGTTGCTATTTGCCTTCATCTTGCATTTGTATTTAAGTAATTTTTATCTATCTCAGAACACATGACTGACACTATAATCAGATGTTATGGACTTAATTTACATTACACTTTCCTCATCCCAGCTGCAGTTTCAGCATTTCTACTTGTGCTTTTTAAAACTGTACTTACTTTGACTTGTTGTATTCAAATTCTATATGCAGGCAGTCTTCAATGCCTACTTCCATTTTAATAGAGTTGTTAACATCTGGATATGTAGCAAGTTGGTGAACAATAAGGTCATACTCTTTTACCAAGTCTGACAGTCTTCTTACTATTGTCACTTTAAGAAAGTACCTAAAAAGTACAGTTAGTAGAAACTCAAGTTATGCAAAATGTATTATTTATGGCTGAAGTGACCAAGGTAGCCACATCTAACAAATTAAAAATAAGTTTATAAGCAGATGATTTTACTTTTAGTAATTACACCTCCATTTCTTATTAAACCCAATCTACAGAATTGCAAACACTATTTCACAAGGCTACAAATGTTGCTTTCTAGATCTCCCCCAAAGATATCCTAGTCTCTTTCCTAGTCTGTCATATCAGTAAGCTGGACATGAGTCAGTGCATGCCCTTGTTACCAAGAAGGCTCACAGCATACTGGGCTTCATTATTAGGAGTGTTGCCAGCAGATCAAGGGAAGTGATCATTTCCCCTCTATTCAGCACTGGTAAGGCCACATCTGGAGTACTGTGTCCAGTTTTGCGCACACACCCCCCCAAAAGGATGTGGACAAGTTGGGCAAGTTTGGCAGAGGGCAACAAAAATGGTTCAGGGGCTGGGACACATGACTTCTGAGGAAAGGCGGAGGGAACTGGGCTTATTTGGTCTGCAGAAGAGAAGACTGAGGGGGGGATTTGATAGCAGACTTCAAGTACCTGAAGGATGGTTCCAAAGAGGATGGAACCAGACAGTTTTCCATGATGGCAGATGACAGAACAAGGAGCAATGGTGTCAAGTTGCAGCAAGGGAACTTTAGGTTGGATATTAGGAAACTCTCTCAATAGAAGGGTGGTGAAGCACTGGAACAGGTTACCTAGAGAGGTGGTGGAATCTCCAGCCTTGAAGGTTTTTAAGGTCTGGCTGGACAAAACCCTGGCTGGAATGATCTAGTTGGGGATGGTCCCAATGCGAGCAGGGGGTTGGACTAGATTATCTCCTAAGGTCCCTTCCAACCTTAAATTTTCTATTGTTCTGTTTCCTAGACTTTCACAGCTACATCAGTGCAACAGTACCACTACATGGAAAATAACAAAATTTTGATATTTGCAGTGGAAAATTCACCACTTGAAGAGGGAAAACAAAAACAAAAAAAACCAACCAAACATACAAACAAAAAGCAACCAGGCTACACCTTCCTCCTAAACTTTTGCAAGTAACAGAGTAACAGATCAGCCTCCCCAGGGGACTTACCATCTGTAACTCAAACTAAAACAGCTCCAAATATGCAACAACTATACAGGAGAACCTCATAAAAAAATTAGAAGTCATCATCTTCACCTCACGTACTCCAAAAGGGATTAAGTGAAACAGGACATACTTACCTATGATACTGACCTAAACAAACTAACAAAAGAAAAAAAAAAACTTGTTCATGCTCATCTCCCCCACTCTCCCATCCTAGGAACTTTTTATACGCTTCCAAATCCTGGCACTCATCATATCCATCTGCAGTATCCTTACTGAAAAAAACTAATCAGGATCTATAGAAATCCTGAAAGCTTGTCACTCAGAGCCACTTTTTTCTGCGAGACAGACTTCATCAAAAGATCTGGAACATAAACCACCTCTCCTCAAGAAGGCCATACTACCAACCATGGATATCTCCAACCACCCCATAGCAGGAACGCATAACTGCTTTCCTGAAATACCTACAAGAACACAAACTATACTCAGATTTGCAGCTATGAAGCCGAGTATACAATTACACAAAAAAAAATCAGCCAATTCATCCTCACCTACAACTTCATTTTCAACAATGGGAAGGAGAAATTTTAGAAATAACTCACACCACAACTGTGTTATATAGATGTTATTTTCATGACCTGGGGCAGAACACCTGGACTTGCTTATTGACTTCCACACAGGTTCAGCTACCAGCCTTTGATCAAAGTTACACTAGAGTACCCTCACAGGGCACATCCACACATGCAAGCATGTGCGCTTGCAACAGCTCAAATAGAAGCGGTGCAAATTTGAGCTGGGGCTTTTTGCCTCAGCGCACGTGCTCGGACATGCACTTTGCTGTGGAACAAATTGTGCCACTTGGGGCAAAATAACCCTGCCTGGCTCCTCCCGTATCTTCAGCCAGGGGAACTAGAGCCCGCTGTCCCCAGCAGTATAAAAAGCTGCCCTGTCCTGGCCCCAGCAGTATAAAAAGCCACCCTGGCAAGTAGCTCAGGGCTACTAGCTCTCAGGAGCTTCTGGGGCCCAGCCAAATGGTACCTGGGGACACTATCCCTTGTGCCAGCTGGACTGCTGCAGCAGCCCTGAGAGTTTCCTGCACCCTCTAGCCACTGCAGTCTGACCGTGGGGGCTGCTGACTGGCTGTGACCCGCTGTGCACCTGCCAGACCCATTTGGGCCCCCTGCCTAGCCATCTAGGCAGCTATCACCCGGAAGATGTTCCGGGTGTGGTGGCCTGCTTTGAACTGTGAAAGCATGTCCTCCTGGCCCCATTTGGCCAGGAGGTCAGTCACAGCCAGATGGGCCCAAGGTGCCAGCTCTGAGCAAGCAGGGTCATAATTTCATAATTCTTAGGGTTAGAAGGGACCTAAGCAGATCATCTAGTCCAACCCCCTGTCATGGGCGGGAATGGATGCTGGTGTCAAATGACCCCATCTAGGTGGCTGCCTAGCCTCCTTTTGAAGACCCCCAGGGTAGGGGCAAGCAACACTTCCCTTGGAAGTTGGTTCCAGCTCCTAGATGCCCTGGCTGTGAAATAGTGCCTCCTGGTGTCTAGCCTGAATCTACTGTCAGTCAACTTATGGCTGTTGTTCCTTGTTACTCCTGGTAGTGTTCGGGGGAACAGGGAATCTCCCATTGCCTGCTGGATCCCCTTGGCAAGTTTATAGGCGG